AAACAGAGCTCAGGAGCAGGTATGCAGTCCTGGGAACCCTTTCAATAAAAGCAAAGCAGGGTTTTGTTATTTTTTTTTCTTCTTTCTTTGCAGGTACATACAGAGACTGGAATATGTAAAATTAAGTAGCACAAAAGACCATCACACAATTCTACCAATGAATGTTGCATCTATAAATTCACGAACATGGTCAACAGTCATGTTCACTTCAACCCCTTAAAAAAAAAAAATGTTGTTTTTATTTTAAATAAAAGCATTAATGTTACATTCAGACTTAACTCCTAGTACCATGCGGTAGATCTCAGTATTGTCAAGGTATTGCAAGAGTCACCAACCCTATCGAGCGCAGTGGTGACAGCCATGGCTGCACACATCCCCCGACCATGGGCCAGCAGCACTGAAACACTGTTTGCAGCTGCCCCTTTTTCTGTCTGCTCTTGAGATTGGGGGAAAAAAAAAATAAAAATTAAAAAAGGTTGGGGAGGGGAACTGCAAAGAGCCTGATTTTTAGAAAAGCTCAACAGGGGACTGCAAATACTCAAGACAAATATTCATTGCATACCATATAATGATGCCTTGCTGATAGCCAAAGGCCCAAGGCCCTACCTGGAGTCTCCTCCTCTACCTTCAAAGTGATTATTCAGGGTTTGCTGTGACATGATGTTCATGGTTAAACAAAAATTATGTAGCTCTTATTTACAATTTTTTGTAACAATTGCTTCTGCAGAAAAAAAAAAAAGTAAAACTCACAAATCTTCAGAACACAAAGGGATTAAGATGTCAGACACTCCCATGCGCGCACTCACACCCGCGCACTCACACACAAAATACTTCAAGGGGCTTTTACACACATTATTCTGGCTTAAGCTGATTGAGTATTTCTCCATCCCACCCACTACCCCTCCCAAAATATATATATAAAAAACCCTTGCCCCAATATACAAAGCATATGCACAATGGTGTTTTGCAGTCACACTGAGCATGCTCAGACCGATGGACCCACTCGATTCACGGCGGCTGAAGGGGGCAGGCAGTCTAGAGAGTCGCTTCCAATAGTGGTCGATACACAGAGTCAGCACATGGCGAGAACTTGACTAGACTTAGAAATATTTGTGGTTTGTTTTTAATATAAAGAGTTCAATGAAAAGACATTCAAATGCCAGTCATCTACTGAAGTGGGAGGTCTAAAATGAGGATACACTTGATTTGGGGAGGTCTCGAAAGGACACTGTCATCTTTCAGAGCTCTGATATTCCTCATAGTACTTTTAAAAAAAAAAAGTTATCTTGGACAGTAAGAACAGAATGGTTAGTGTTGCTTCCTAGTTTCATTAGCAGAACTTGTATTTCAACCTCCCAAATCTGTAGGAAAATATTGGAAGTTCAGGGAAAATTTTCTATTTGGTCATATACATATAGAATATATAATTTCCACATATAGATGTGACCCCCTCAAACTAATGTATCCTATATGCCAGCAACTATTTTGTGACAGTGCCCCTTTAAATATCCATCTGCTTACATTTTCATATCCTGCCTCCCCCAACAGATGAACATCCACTTCTCAAATATTAAACTCATGGATCAGTTTGTAGTTTTTAAGAACCATGTGTTCAACAATATGATCTGTTATAAAAATAAACACTTCACAAACAAATTACATAAAGCAAAGCACCAGTTTCTACAGCTCAAAAGCTTCCAGCATGTTACAGTTTACTTCCCTCCCTCCTTAACCTGGATTCCTCAGTGTCTCTTGTACCTTTGTGACCATCACCAGCGGAGGGGGGGGGGCGGGGGGGGAGGAAAAAAAGAAGAAAAAAGAAAAAAAAAAAAGAATTCCAGCGCATCTTCTGGCACTGCCCTGGTAGCCCATCACCTGCAGATGCAGCTGTGCGGTGGCACAGGAGCCAAGCACGCTCAGAACCGTTACCTGGCACTGGTGAGGTTCCCTAGCAAGAAGTCACCCAAGCTGTGCTGCTTCTCTCCCCACACACTCTTCTGCTTTGATGAAGTTAAAACAACAAAATTAAAAGCTTCTTGGCTGCCCCATTTCTAAGTCTCGCTCTCACTCACAATCCATTCTGAAACCCATTTAGCTCGGCATGTTTGGCATTCTCAATGTTGATCAAACTGAAGCAAATAATCTTTAGTATGAAATTCCAACTGAAATTGCAAATTTTTACTGATCAAACCTTGTGACCAGTTAAAAGGCAGTATTATTGGCATATAACTGCAAAATTGAATGTGGTGGTATGGATTCAGAAACAGAATGTACAATAGGACATATAATGGAAGTTAGTTATGAACTACCATTTTAAGAGTAAGACCAGGGCAGGGCACTAGATTAACTGACTGTTGGAATAAATCCATTTACCTCTCTGCAAAGGCTCCAAAACTACAGCTGTGTAACAGAGGACAATCTTTTCAAAGCCTTCTTCCATGAATGAAACTTTCTGCTTCATGAAGAACTATTCATGCTCCTAAAGAAAGGCATTTTTACAGCTTTCCTTCAAGAAACCAGAATGCTTAATACAAATTAATTAAAAAGGACATTTTAAGTCTGCCAATACTGAAAAATGTTGTGTACTAAAAAAAAAAAAGTATCACTCTTCACAATTTTCTTCTATCTGTAAAAATGTAAACTGCTGTATTTCTAACAGAGTAACGAAGAGACTGTTAGGGCTTAGTGTTTGCACAAATCAGCAAAACAGTAAGATATAGAAAAAGTTACAAAATCCCAGTAGTACAGGATTTACATAGTGTTTGGGTTGTGACAAACTCAAAGATAAGCATCATGCAGCCTGTAACAGCCATGAGAGATGAAAGTATGAGAAAGCAGAACAGTTTTGTAAGATAAAGAGCCAAAATTGCCAGGCATAAATAATCCAGTCCAAAACCTGAACTGAGAATAATGGAAAAAAATTTTCACAGCCTTAACTTTAGTTAACCATGTTAGAAAAAAAAAAACAAAAATAGATTTTAAGTGGAACTTACAAAATACGCTCTTCAGAAAAAAATCTGGTCTAGCGGGTAAAGAAACTGCTATTTGACCAGATCAGCTAGAGGTATTCTACGTTTAAGTAATCCTTGTACATTTTAATACTAAAAACCCCCTAAGAACCCAATAGACAAGAATAGCTTGAAACACAGTCTGGACTGAAGGTGAGAAACTGTGTGGACCAGACATTCACAAAAGTGTATGCTACCCCCAAATTTAATCCGTATGTTTTTTTAAAAACTTGGCCATTTATTTTCCCGTATTACCCAAGAAGCACTGGACTTGGAGTGGAGGGAATGCAAGAGACTCTGCTCTCCCAGAGAACTGGAAGGTGTGAAGAGGTGTGGGAGAGGAGAGGGGATTACATTAATTTCTTTTTCAAGACTGATACTTCACTCCAGCCTTAAGCTGTTCTGCACAATTAAACCACTTAAAAAAAAAAAGATTTACAATGGAAACACCGATCATCTTTATTGTAACCGCAACAGTAGTTTCATTATAGTAAAGAATGTTAGAGAACTTAAATTTTTATAAGCCAAGGTAAAGTAATTTACCAGCCTCAATAAAATCCATGGCTATGAATCACACAAGACAATCACTCGGCTGTTATATTAATATTCCATTCCACGTTTTAGGCTCCACACTGTGCTCAGTATCTTCAGGCTCCCTATGCCATTCAGCCAAGTGTCCTTCCTGGTCATATTAGTGTATCACATCTAAAAGCTCTCTAAAATCCAAACAGGATTAAAAATCTGGTAGTATGTGCACCAGAAATCCAACTAATTAGCTGCCTTATGTTACCTTCAAGAGGCTGGTTACAAATGTGTAGTTCTGTGACAAAAAAAAAGATGCAAAGCTTGTCAGCTATAAGATAACTGTGAGCAACATACAGAAAGCACAAAGGGTTTAAGAAAAAAAAAAAGAAAAATGGCAGGTCCAGTTTTCAGTATTTCCACCAACAAACATGGTAGCAACCTCTGTATTAGGGTTTGAAAACCAAGGCTTGTGTACTTTAATTAAAGTTTAAAAAAAGGATATGGCTGCTTTGATAAAAACACATTAAAATGCCACCACACACATCTCAAGTGTCTTGCATTTAGAGGGACATCCTGCTTTTATTATAAAATGATAGCCCTGCTACACTGCTTCCAAACTCCACTTCCTCCCAGCTTCATCCTTTATCACTGTTCCCTATTCAGCACTTCTTAGGCTTAGGGAGCAGAATGATGACCAGCAGTTAGAAGCAGACATGTTGTCGTGGGAGCAAAGCCTCCCACACTGTAGAATGGAAGGATAAAGAAATGGAAGTGGTTATCGTGGTGATGTTCACAATCGATGGAAGTCTGCTGTCCAACACTGCAGCTGGAGAGGCTGAGAGGTATGACTACATAGCCTTTCTGAGTACAGATGGAGGGAGAGAAGAGAAACACTTAAGCGTGACTCATGGGATCCGAGACTGACCAGAGCATTACAGGAATCCTTTGCTTCACATTTATAAAAGGACATCCCTCGCCCCAAAAGCTAAAGAATTTAGTTTCACACTACCCATTAGTTTTTTTCCTTGGAAAAAACTTTAAAGACATTTTCCACAATACCAAATGGAAACCAGAGTTTTAAAAACTGTTTTCAATTTCTCTTCCCTATTCTGCCCATCTATAGCCAACCCTGGAAGAAATAAAATAGTTAATGGATGTGAGAAGCTTGTAGGTTGTATATCTGAATTTCTATAGAATGAACTGCAATTTGCCTAAAGCAGAATAGTATTCTATCCAGCAAAGACAAAAGATCTTGCATCCTAATTGGAAGGTCTTTTCTAAATAAAAGACAGTGGACCATCTACAAGTCTCTTGATTGCTTTCCATGAAAAACGTGCCTGAATCCAAGAAACACAGGTTTCCTCCCCATGTTTCCTCCTCCTCAATTGGAATTCATATGAACTACATTTTTTTCTGAGAGTGAACTTGCATCAACAAAAGTCTGTTAAAGCATAGGTTCATTTTTTCCCACATATTCAAATACAGAATAATAGTTTTAAAGAACTCTTACCAGCACTGGGAAATCTATTCTACTTAACGATTTGTAAATATGGTTTCCACGTATCAGTCTCAAACCTTATTGCTTCACAACTGCAGTATCCCTTGAAAAAAATATATATTTAAATGGTCTGTTAATTTGTCTCAAATGGCTTTCAGATTTGGTGGGGGAGGGAGAACGGAATGGCCAACAGAGAACATTGACTTCAAAATATTACTGTATAAGGGTTTCCTCTTATTAAAAAAGGATACACTGTATTAAACAGCTGAAAGTAAAGACAGCATTCAAAGCCCATGAGTCAAGCCACAGCCAAAACCGTGTTCTACCCCTAAGTATGTTTCCTTTTCCTTTTTCTTTTTTTTCTTTTTTTTTTTTTAAACAAAGATTTCCTCAACTGCCATTTAATCTTCACCAGAGGGTGCTTCATCTTCAGATCCCTCATCCCCTGACTTCTCTGGTGGAGGGCTGGCTGATTTTTTCTTTTCTGGGGGGCTTTCAGGCTCTTCATCCTCTTCTTTGGGGGATGGGGTCTTTTCTTTTGTTGCCTTGGAAGCTGTGGGGCGGCCTGCCTTCCCTTTGCCTTTCACTGGACTGGGGGTCACTGAAAAAAGAAAAAGCTTATAGAAGTTATGATCAGCAACAAAGACAAAGAAGTCATATGGCTTTATACAAACAGGATTTACAAGACACTTCAGTAGCAGGTTTCATTTTGCTTTGACCATACCCTAACACACGGTGTTTTTTTACACTCCACAGTAGTACAGTTGAACTGAAAAGTTAACTAACAAGATTTAAAAACTATTTATTTGCCAGTCCTGACTAATTGCTGGATAGGACATCATAAACTAACACAGCTGGCCTCTTGTCAAACCACTACATACGTTGCTATTCTGATTTCAGACTTCCTGCAGAAATGCATCAAGTTTTCCTCTCGTTCAGATTTCTCCACCTTCCTCCACCCTGAAAACATCACAAAGCGCACGAGTTCCAAACAAAGCCACAAATTATATTACTTGGCAATGATACATAGAAAGCCAGACTGCAGTATCTCAATTGGGAAGGTTTTGCAATCTGTGCAGTTTTTGCCAACAAGGCATAGATATTAACTCAATCTCTTAATTAACTAAAAATTAAATCCACCTTATTATTTCATAGTGCTGCTTTAAATCATGGTACGTTACATGAAGTAGCCCTTTGGCATCATACATGAATGCCTACTGACCCCAAGATTTCTACAAAGTCTTCTATAGTAGAAAAAGAAAATACTAGCCTCTAAAGCAAACTGCATAACTTTCTTTGCATATACTCACCTGTAGCCTTTAGCCTGGGCTTTGGCATTTTCTTTTCTTTCCTCTCTGGCTTGGATTTCTTGGAGACCTTTTTATTTTTCTTTTTCGAACTGCCATAGTCACTATCATCATCATCTTCCATTAGGAAGTCTTCATCGCTTCCTGAATCTGCTGAGAGCATGAAGAAATTTAAGTTTTTGGAAAAAAGGAAAGGGAGCAGAAAATACAGTTGAGAGATCTGCCAGTTAAACTACAGGGACAGGAAACTCAGACTCGGCAACCTTATGAGCTTCCACCTATCTGCTGTGCTAAAGAAATTTGACATGGCAGAAGATATTACACTGGTAAGGATAAGTCACTAGCATGACAGAACAGGCAAGCATTTTGAGGTCCTCAAAATACGATCCATCTCCTTAATAAGTAACTCATCTCAAAAAGAATCTCTTGACAGAGAGAAGTTAAGTGACCTTTTCAATGGTACTCTTACTCCATTCTGAAATCACGTTTGCACTCAGTACTTCAGGAACTTTACTGTGGTTCATTACCAGCTGAACCCATCTCTTCTTATGCAACAAACTGTCCTACTCTGATCAATCAAGGATAAAGTACTTTTACATCATCATCAATGCCTCAAAACCAATGGAATAGCAAACAGCAGCAAAAAGCATTAAGAACTTTATAAGCAGTCCTAAAGGATTATTGTAAAGACATACATACATCTTTGCTGCAAGCTTCAAAAAAAATTCTACATGTGAAAAATGCAAGTTTGGTCTGTTGGACAGATAAGCAGTTATAAACAAGTTACTGAGAAGGACAACTTACGTCTTCACTGTCACAGTCAAAAAGCAAACTGCATTCCCTTTGCTGTCTGGCCAGACCCATAAACTCATGTCTGGTACTATACTCATGTGACATTGATTTTAACTTTTTACAATCCCATTTACTCACTCTCCTGGAACTGTGCCTCATCATCCTCTTGCTCTTCCTCCTCACTACCCACATCATCCATAAGCATCTCTCGTTGTTTAGAAGCTGCTTTGGATGCTGCCTGTCGTTGCTGACGCACATTTTTGTGGTCTTCTTTCTCGTCCTCACTGTCCTCTGCAGCAAAAGTCATCAAGTTATATGAAGACACAGAATACAGACCACCAAACTGTCTTGATGTAGCACATGGGCAAGACAAAGGTCAAGTCATTCATGAGAAAGTTAATCAAGATGCTTACTGAATAACTGAGCTGTGAGGAGAACACGGTCACATTCAACTTAATAAGCACATTTCAGTAGTCACTCAACAATGATCCTGTGCAATACCTTTCACTGCAAAGACTAGTAACCCTTTTTTTCTTTTTTTTTTACCTGCAGGCCTTTTCCTGGATTTGGAGGCTGCTCTCTTATTCTTTTCTGGTTTAGCCTTTTTGCCTTTTTTGCTTTTTTGAGAGCTCTCATAGTCACTGTCAGCTTTGCCATCATCTGCTCCTAAGTCATCATCTTCACTGCCAAAATCTTCATCTGAAAGGAAAAGGTAAGAATATGAAGTTCTTGTACCATTCTGAAATAGGGACGAGAACTACAGGGAAGAGATTAACATACATGTGTCTACCTGTGAAGACAAACCTTATAGCAGCATCATATTACACAAAAAAACGTTATCTCAAACCAGTAGTAGAGGCAGCATCCAGCTTAAGATAAGGATATTAGAAAAGTGCATGCTTCTCTAGTCAGAACTATTTCTTTCCTACGTCAAATCCTACTCCTGTAGCTCTTACAAACCGGTCTTTACTTTGAAGATACACTACAAATACAACGTATTTAGTTACCTGCCGAGTGTGAATCATCTTTCTTAGTCTTCACATCTTTTTCTTCTGAATCCTCACTGAAAATGAGAGGAAGACAGGGTTTTGACTGCTGCTTTAACTTTGACTTCAGTCATTGATGTATGGAAAATACCAATTTTCAGAGAGCAAACTGGTCTCTAGGCTGGGAATATGCACTTTTCCTGGACATTACCATGTTATACTTCAGGATTACTCAGCTGTATATGTAGTTATCACGGTTGGAAAGATAATGTTCAAACTCTGAATCACATACAAACTTACATGGAGTCAAGTGAACCAACCAGGAAATAACAAAGTTGAGATAAACTTCATGCACTTCACTCTGAAACCTACCAATAATCCAGATGTCTTCCATTTTACAGTTACAATTTTGAAGTTTTACATGCTAATGCATGGCTGAGTCTATGCATGGAATAAAGCTTTATTCTGAATAAATTTATAGTCATCACTTGTCTTTACGTCATTGTTTTCTTTGGACCCCTTCATTCTGCGCACATTGCTGTAGAGCACTTCACTAGCACATATTTAGTCTACGATCTCTCAAATGACGTCATCTCTGATGGAGCTTCACCGCTCCCTTCTAGTGGTTTCAATCCTCATCAGAGGGTATCCCTGTCAAGCAGGTACTACTGTTCTGTTCTTATCCAAACACCCATCATTAGTCATTACCACTGTCCAGAGAGGGTTTTCCTGCCAGCACATAAGAACATGCACTCCAATCAGTAAACCAGTGTTTTAAATGGGAATGGTGAATACTCCAAGAGCCACTGATGTACAACATATGCTTCAGGAATGGCTGAACTGCAGAGTTTGCCAAGGTCAGGAAAAACAATAGATCAAACTTCTGCTACTTCCAAATCTGGCAAGTGGAGCTGACACACATAACTTCAAGAACTCTAATAGTTTAGATAAACTTGTCACATTACAGCCCCTCAGGCTCATACATTTTCAGCCTCATACAGACAACTGTGGATTTCAGTCACTTGAACACGAGTCTGTTTTACATGCAAGCCCTCCGCAATGTTTGTGATACACGTAGAAATGTTCTTACACACTTAAAAATCCCCAAAGTTAATAGGACATCAAGGTCAACTATTTAGTTGCTTTGGGAGCTGCCTAGCCCAATTTCTTTATGTCATACCCATATTAAATCTCTGATGTCAGGTGTTACAGGCATTTGCCAGGGTGAATATAGTCTCTCCCTCTCAGTTCACAATAGCAGGCAGACCATGCAAATATTACCTTTCAACTTATAGAACAGGAGTATGATGGGGAAGCCTCTTAAGCATACCGGCTGGTAAGCTATCTACGTTCCAGCAAACAGTGCAACAGAGTAAAGGGACACCTTGGGCTTAGAGAATAAGAACCAGCTGGCAGAACCTCCATCCCTGAAGTTGATGTCTGTCATGAAAGCAGCCAATTGACTTAATAGGTCTTACAGCAGTAATTTGCTGACTACAGTTATTGTAAAAAGGAAGATACCTTCACTCTACAGGAAAGACTTCCACTATTCAGTAGGGCATCACTTTGCACTGAGTCTTCACGCTGCTGGAGCAACTCAGTTATCAAAACAAGTTACTTTGTTTATGAATTAGACAAAACCTGAAATGAGAATGAAAGAACCACAAAACTAACAAATGGCCGCTACTCCTAACTGCCACTGTAGTGGCCCATTTAATATTTAACCACAGGAATGCTCTGAGCATACCAAAAAACATGGAAAATGAAATGCATCTTGCCACTAACTTACCTGGATAACTGCACTAGTTGCCAATTTTTGTAATTTGGATCATATTCCTTCCCATTCCAACTGTCTAGCTCTGGAAAGCTATTTTAATGATGAAGTACTAGTGACAAGTACTTTACACACAATTTCTCTGTCTACTCAGATAAGAACGAACCACCTCCATGCCCAAGCTGGTTATGCAAGCTTTGTGATCAAGAGGTCTGTATCTTACACTGCAGGCCTTGAATTCCACTTACAATCATTCCTCTTAGAAAATACTGCTCCCCATATACAGGACAAAGTTTGCAGACATGTTCGTAACAGATGAAGTGCTTCTTTTACCTGTCCTCCTGAGAATTCTTCCCAGATCGCCTCTTATTTTTAGCCTCCCGCGGAGACGAACGGATTTTCTTGGATGGGGGACCTGAATCTCTTCCATAATCTTCATCTGGACGGGACAGTACAAAATGGTTTTGAATCAAACTCCTAGTTCCCAGCAAACTGACTTCCTCAGCTATAACTTAAACTGACCATTTCATGCACATCAAAAAGAAGCCCTTAAAAAAAAAAAAACACAAAACCACAAAGCTTCAAACAAAACTTTATAAAAGCAAAGTCTTGTCTTAAACTAGTGATGTACCTTTTCTTCTGCCAACAGCACAATAAAAATGCCACATACGATCAAGTCTGACACAGGAGTATTAGGAAACACACAAAAAACCTCACAAGGGGACACAGTATCCCATTTTACAGCTAGTCAGGAACAGAGTTACTCTGTAAACTTGTTAAAAGTTAACACCCGTACATATTTCTACATGCTTTAACAGCAGACACTTTATTTACTGTCCTATGATGGGAAAAAGTATGTAACTATATAGTAGTTCACCGCATAACTTTTTACAACTATTACACAATACCTTATACAATATGAGTAACAGGGCTGTAATTAAAAGCTACGCATATTTGTTTCCATTAATTATCAGTGCAACCTCACTTAGCAAACAGTAGCAGTATGTCTATTTTCTAAGAACATAAAACATATTCCATATGGCTTCCAGAAATATTTTGTTAATTCACACAAAGATTTTTTTTTTTAGATGCAATTCACAAAAATGCCTGACATTATGGGATTAACTAGAGTCCACTAAAATAAATTGAAAACATATTTTACTGTAGAAAAAAGTGGCATCAAGGAAATTCTGCTACAGAACATAACATAGACCAAGGAAGACGACAGTTGCTGCCAACAGCCTCAAGGCACTACAACAATACAAGCATTAAATAATAAGATTTCTACCACCATTGTTTGTTTAATACAAAACATATGAGAATCATTATATTTTCAAATACTTATTAACAGTTCAGGCTGTGAAGAGCAGAAACTCCTTAGAATTTAAGTTAAAAGATGTGACTGGAAGCAAAACAATTAATATGCAAAGCAATAAATGAACTGCTCTAGCTCAAGAATATTATATTGTTAAGAAAAAAAGTCATTTACCAGCATCATCTGATTCCTGAAACTGGGAGTAATCGACCACCTTCCTGTTCCTGTTAAAAAGCAGGGGGGGGAAATAATTAGCAATTCATAATCTCAGAGATACGAAAGTTTTCTTCAAGTAACAAAAAAGTGCCATATCCTTGCTTACAGTGCAAGATTTGTAGCCCAAAAATATCCCAAGAAAACACTCGTAAACAAGCTACCTACACCTTTGAAGTCAGAAATGAACGCACAGTATATTCTAGCATTTTCCTAAGGAGCTATTATAATAGACTGGATTATATTCTCAGAATGTGAAAGTGCTTTTTGATAAGTAGCACTGTCTTATGGCTCATGACTGCAGGGAGGAAGAGCAATCTTAACCTACGCTACGTGGTTCTTTCATTATTAAAACTATGTATCTATCATTATATATCACTATACTAGTGAAAGCACTATTTTAAAGCAGTGTCTGCACCTCAAGATTAAAGAAGCATTTAAAGAATGCATCAGTCTGAACTTAAAGCCAGAGCTCCCCCTAACACCCTCAAAGCTGTGATACTCAAGACTAGGATTTCAGGTATAAAACAAGTGCACAAATATTTTCATGAATTAGATAAACATTTCCTAACTGCTCTTTTTTGAATTTCTGCTTCTCATAGCTCAATATAATCATGCTTGCTCTCATACCTTCTCCTCGAGATTTTTGTTTTCCCATGTGATCCCTGTTTCTAAAGCATTTTAAGTTTTCACCAGGGGCTTCTGGGTGCTTTCTCAACTAGTGACACTGATGCTCTAACAAGATGTAAGAGAGCTGTTACAATGCTTAACTGTATCACTAGGCACAACAATGAAAGATAGGCATTTCAGCCAACCTATGTTTTTGGACAGTGAATGAGCAAGCAAGAAGGACCCAGCACCTTCTCTGCTCTCTAACCAAACTGAAAGTACCACAGGCAACAAGATATCATTAACAGCGCAAACACAACGGCCAATTCTCGACAAAATTAGTTAACTACACAAGCAGCTATTACTGAAACCAGTGCCTCACTTGCCAACAAAATTAGATCCCTTTCTCTAACTTACCAAACCTAAAAAATGAAATATAAGTAACTGTTGGCTACTTTCTCAGCACCTGTCCCAACTGCTTTATTGACAAGACATAACTGCCCTGTAACACAGCTACTCAAGGGAACCAAGACAGCTATGTAATTGAATTATATTTGAGTCCTAGCTGATAATGCCTCAGTCAGACTCCAAACATCCATCTCTTAATGGCTGACATGCACAGCTGAAAATGGCACCAGGGATTCAAACACCCCTCCACACACACTTTTTACAATCCCTTTGACCCAAAGCCAATGATGAACTTGACCTTGCAGTAATCATCACGTGAGCTCACCTCTACATCTAGAAAGTCAGGCAAGCAACAGATTAAGTGACCTCCGCAGCATTACAGACTTAAGGACCGCTGCAAAGAGAAGCCAACACAAGCTCCATCCAGCACACGAACCACAATGCCCTTTCCCTCTCCTGCACCGCAGAGCATGACTGTTGAATTTCACATTCAGTTCCCATAACTGAACTGCACTTTGTGATTAACATCAGACATTGCTGATAAGACTGTTTAGTTGAAAGGTATCTCAAAAGTCATTGTTGCATTCTGGTTGTTGATCCATTTGAAACCAATTATAAGTCACGCTCCTGTACAAGCACCTCTATCCATGGCTTACAGCAGCAGCCTTCAAAAGACAAAGGAGCATAATTATTTTATTTCAACCCCACACCAAGCCTCTTAAACTCAACCCCCCCCCCCAAACCCCAACCCCTCAACACCAACAAAAAAAAACCCAAAATAAACAAGCAAACAAAAGGAAGGCAAAACCAATCATTAGATTTCTACAGGTTGAATCCCATCCAAGCTTCAGAGTACACGTGAGTGGAACAAAGTACAACAGCAACATGCTACACAGCACTGCTCGCTCACTCACAGTCCAAGTAAGGTAAAATACACTCGTTACGGTGTATTATCCAGGGACTCAAATTCCTATTTGAACTGGTAGTCTTCCTGAAGATTGCCTCCTGACCTATCTCACACGTGAAAACACTAATTTTGTTCTGGTGAGCACCTGAAGAACAATAAAGTTTATAAATAAGATGTCTGATTTGGTGTAAGTATCAGGTATTAGTTTTTTCCTCTAAAAGTGTAAATGGAAAAAAAAATAGAATTGCCACATATTCTGTTCTAGCAGCTTTGTAAAATAATGGTTTCTGACAGAACTTATCTAAGAAGCAAGTTGGAAATTGCAATATTGCCACCTTGTAGTTAAGTTGGTCATACACAGCTTCATCTTGCTTATTTCAGCCAAAGACCCATATTAAATCAGGTATTGAAAAAAATCTAACAGAGTCAGATAAAACATTAACAAAAAAATTGTCCCTATGGAAAACATCCTTCCTCTTTCTAAGCACTGTACCCTGTTTTCAGCTACAATGTAAATCCTGCTAGACTCTCATTACCTAGTAAACAGGAGTAGTGATAATTGTATAAAAAAAAATTCACTATGGCAGAAGAAAACAAGAGAGAAGGCCATTTGGCTTGATTTATCTTATTTTGCAGGGCAAGGAGAAGAGTGGAGGAAAGAAGCATTATCTACACTGATATTACTGAAGACAGAAACTCGCAAGTCTTCCCAACAGAACCAGTGAAGCTCACAAGGGCAGAAACATCAAACAAACTGCTCTTGCATCTGCCATTCTCCTCACTCTATACTCATCGTTCATACCATTTAGATCAATGTATGTTTTTCTTTAGAACTGTCAACAGTACAGTACTGTTGTGCAATGCTTAATAACTACAAGTTCGCAAAGAGAGAGTGCATCTTTTATTACACCAAGGTGATAAAAACACAGTAGATAAGCTCCCTGGGGTTAAGAGCCAGGAAAAAAAAAAATTGCTGGTTTTGTCAATGAAGAGTATCTCTTTGCTACTAGCAAAAACTAGAAGATGTTAAGGCAAGCAACCAGACATAAAAATAAACTATTTGTTAAATTCAGTTAGACTGAGCATAAAAAGACAGTCTAGTAGACATCTGGGATGGATATTGTTCAATCTGGTTTAAAACACGCACTGAAATTTTAAGGTAACTTACTTGCTAATTCAGCTTAACATTTAAAGTGTGCATGTGAGAAGAAACTGGAGGAGGAAAGGTATAGAGAGAGGTCCCAATAGCATAGGTTTTTAGTAACAGCTGTCAGTCCAGTATTTCTGGAATAAAGAGTAACTCATCTAGTAAGTCATCAACACATTACATCAGAAACACTTATTTAGCAAAGTAATACTCAAGAAATTTAAGAACTCAGAAATGCACAGTAATTCTTACAACCCATACTTGAATGCCTACCAAACTGAAATTTTGAAATGCTGAAAAGCAGTATTAACATGTAAAAGGATCACTAAATGCCTATACAACTGAATAAGGATTGTACAGTAATACCCCATCTTGAGCTAGGGAGGTCCCTTTGTAAGTTAACAGGTCAACACATAAATTAACAAACAGTTAGAACACTTTCAGGTTTTTAAAGGGAATGCTTACATCCCCAGATATTTCCACAGGTATTAAAATCCGCAGACAAAGCCCAAGTTTTAAAAAAAAAAACCAAACAAACATATGTTCCTGAAAAGTAATGCTAGGAGGAGTCTTCAGAAAGCTAGTAACTGATCTCATTGTGCACTGAAGAGGAATGTTTAGGTCAAATGATTATCAGCAGAAGTAACAACCTATCCTCTTATACAATATGGCAAGTAAAATGAATGACAGATTAAATGGTTACCGAGATTTTTTTTTAAAAAAAAAAAAAAAATCAAACTACAGCATTTAACCACATAACCACCAAACTCGGCATTTGCGAAAGCAGTCACAACCCCTTCCCCGCCAGCAAGGCCCGGGGCGGGTCTGGCACAGTGGTCAGTTTCACTTCCTGGTTCTCAGTCCCCTCAGCACAGGTGTCCCACTTTGAGGTCAACACATTCTCAATAAATACTGCCATTAAAAGCACCCTTTCGGTGCCTTTTTTTATACATAGATAAGCAAAAAGATAGACAGGAAATGTTTCTTATAGGTATTTTCAAAGTTGTGCAAAACAAATATGCAGTGCTAGATTTAGGCCTTAAATGAACACTGACTTAGAATTATGCATCAGAAGTTGAAACATTGAAGCCTAGTGACAGTTATGTACCTAAGACAAGTCACTATGGTGTTAGTCTATTTAAAAATTGGCACAACTGTACTCAGACAAGACTCACCGACTAGAGGTTCCCAATTACAGAGGTCATTGTTTGGGTCTGGACTTGGTGTAACTCCAAACGTCTGTAAGACTAGGCACTGCTCATGGTATCTGCAGAATTTTTAGGGATACACATGACTTGAAACTCCATAAAACAATTAAATGATTTATGCAGCAACAGTTTAAGCAGTCTTGTGCCCATCCTCCATTTGAACCTAACTACAGTTGAGAAGATTTTAAAATACAATACAGAAATGTTCTGATGCAGAGCGGGGGGGGGAACGGGACCAAATCCCAAACCACACACACATATACAAAAAAAAAATCAATTCTGCAACCCGTGTTGTTCCTGGTATTTTGATTTTTATTGTACCTCTACCTTGCTCTCTGTTTCTCTTTAGACTGAAAGTTTTCAGAGCAAGGATCATATCTTTTTACTTATCTGGAAAGTGTCTATTGCTCATCTCCGGACGCTACTACACATTGTTACCCAAGCTAAATGCCAGTCCCCAAGTGTTGCTCTCCTGCTACCCCATGGAATGTTTCCAGAATCACAATGTTTATACTTTACATTGTCCAGGTACAACACTGGCAACAAAACAAGGTACATTTAAGAGATAAGTGTATTTTTTTCCTGCAAGTAAAATTTCAAAGGACCACCCTTCCACTGTAGTGCCAATGCAAGACTGTGATTCAAGAGTTACTAATAAAGAAAAATTCAGTATGTAAAGCCTTGAAGCACTGAGATCAATTCATAACTGGCTTTAATCTTAAAATGAGCAAA